GGTCAACGGCACTGTAGAACCTGTGGAGGGACAGGCCATAACTCTCGTACGTGCCAGAAAGAATGTAGAAGAAGATTCTCTTTCAGATACAAGTAAGTCGTACGAAGCATCTATAGCTAGTGTAGAGTAATCTAAGTTTTCGTACATGAAGTTCGTGATGCCAAGAAAAAGTGGCACACTCGGTGATGTGGCCCGCTCGGTGATGGAATACGTTACTACTACTATCTAAATTAACACCGAGATATTAGAAGTCTCCAGATACTTCACATGCTTACTTGACCTCGACTCTCCTTCTACCTTGATGTGGTCCTTTTATCTTTACAGGCGACCCCTTGAAATCTGCTGCGCTGCTACTACAGAGGTGGCTTCTCAAAAGTTCCTACTGGCGTTCATTCTATCGGACTAAAGGATTTTGAGTGTTACGGGCGACGAGACCTAGTATGAGCGGTTTTGCATCCATCCAAGGTACTGGAGAAGTAAGATAAAGAAGCGGGACCATTATTCATGCATCCTTTTCGCCTATACTTACTAGAAAGCTTAGCTATTTAAACATGTGAATTTTCCTACAAAACGTGAGGTGCAGCGTACGATAATAACCCTCTTTCTTCTCCCCTTAAGTTGGTAGGCTCATCTTAGCTTCTTAAACCAAAGAAGAATACCAAGAGTAACCATAGCGAATATGCAGTTGGAAATGAGCTTAGTCAGACCAAATACTACGCAAATGTAGGTATATTACCATCACCCCAACCCCCCATCGAATTATTCCCCAACCAAATGCACATAAGCTTAATGAATAGGTTATCCTTGTGATATTATATATCCTGGGCTGTTGCTTCAGTGTCAAGTTTAAATATTCCGCTCCCCTCTGGAACCTCCATGTACATTGTTAACCATCTAACTGTTTCAAATACTCTGACGACCTCTCTCTCAATCTCTCTCTCTCTCACACACACACAAAGAAATTTAATATGCACTTCTTCAAAACCTTGTTTACTGTTCTTCTTACAGCCGCTGCCGTCAACGTGACTGCTTTTCCTCAGTCTGATCACGACAATAGTGCTTGCTATCTTTGCGATTCTGGTCCTACCGCGGTAAGTTTGGAGATTGCCTATTACGTTTTTTTTTCTTCCCTACAAACGCGCGCATACTACCACCGCCTACTTGCTACGAATAAGAAACAAGTAATAATAGTACCTTCACTGCTGCCTTGTTCTATTGTGCACCCTGGTGTGTCGTTATGGAATTTCGCTGTGTTGGACACGTGAAAATCACTTTGTATAACAAATGCTGATTATTTGACACAGTGTATCAATGAGGCCTGTGTTTACTCTGATGGCTCCTGGTCCTGCGAAAACGGGGCGTACTGCTAGAGTCCTTGATAATGTGGATATATATATCTTATAGTGTTGGTGTAGGCGATGTAGCGGAATAACACGGCAGCACTACTATCTATGTCAGTCATCACTGATAGTCATATCTGCTGGTACAAAGAATAATAATCGAGTCTTAATTGAATTATTCATACTCAGACCCCTTCTAACACTTCACTCCCATGTGTGATCAACAAGATTATTTGTGGACCCGATAGGTGAGGGGAGGCTTGTCAAAATCTGTCGATATATCATTCATGTGTGATACCCGGCTTTGATTCGCGTAGAAAAAAAATCATGGTCAAGCAGATATTGCAAAAACACATGCTAGTAACATGGCGTGTTAGATGATGAAAACTAAGGCTATGAACTTGACTCGCACTTTATAGCCTTCAGCTATAATCTTAGCACAGTTGCTGCAGCATATATAGTCCCCAGCCACAGAGTCTAGAGCTTTAATTCTTTTTCTTCTGCGATAAAAGGCTTCTCAAGTGACGTTGGCCCAGGCGCTGCAAAGATGGGAACCAGCTACAGAGGGTTGATTTACATGATTTGATTAACTGAAACTAGATAACGTTCCATGCTATTTAAATCACCAGCTGCCTCATGCCCTCCGCCATGACCGTAACAACGCCATCAACATGCCCCGCGCTCTGTGCAAAGTGAAACTCATACGGTGCACTATCCACAACCCACTTCCCATCGGCCTCGTCAAACGATGCAAAGTCCTTATTCGCACATGTAAGCTCAACCTGCTTCTCTTGTCCCGGCTCTAAAAATACTTTGTCAAACGCAGCAAGCGTCTTGATTGGGTGCTCTGGCGACTTGTTTTTCCTGCCAACGTACAGTTGGACAACGGTAGCACCGGCCACGCTTCCGGTGTTCTTTACCGTGGCCGTAGCGGCAAAGACACCGGACGATGGCTGTGAGACTGCCGGGTTGGCGATGGAGAAAGTGGTGTAGGAGAGACCGAATCCAAAGGGAAAATGTATCTTTTCAGCCGCAATGCGGTCGTAGTGTCTGTATCCTACGAAGATACCCTCGTCGTATCTCACAGTAAGCTGGCCGCTGTCGTCTCTTTCGCCCGGAAAGTTGCCATGTGCAGGCGCGTCTTCAATGCGCTTAGGCCATGAGATAGGGAGATGACCCGATGGGTTGACGGCGCCGGAAAGAATGTCGGCAATGGCGTTCCCGGCTTCTTGGCCGGGGAACCAGGCTTGCACGAATGCAGCTACCTTGTCTAGCCAGGGCAAAGCTACCGCTACACCGGTAGAGTTTACCACGATGGTCTTGGGGTTGACCGAGGCAACGGCCTCGATGAGCTTGTCCTGGGTGCCTTCGCGGGGTAGATTAAAGCCGGCTTGGTCCTGTCCTTCAGTCTCCCAGACCGGGGTGTGACCGGTGAATACAATGGCAATGTCGCATTCTTTTGCCACGTCCCTGGCTTCGGCAGCGAGGTCCCTGTCATGTTCTGCTTCGTACATGAATCCCAGCCTAAACCCAGGCAAGTCATCGAGAATGCCGGCGTCAGCGTTTCCAGCTGGTGGTTGCGAAACAATTTCAACCTTATATGGAGTACCTCTTGTGAACGGTACGCGGAACTCTTTTTCCGGGTTACCGCCAAAGAGAAAACCCATGGCATCGGGAGAATTATGCTTTTGCTCATACACGACCTGGTCATTGATGCGTACGATAGTCGGGCCGATACCTGAGCATCCCAGGTAGTGTGACCCAGACTCTGTAGGTGTAAACGTAGCTGTGAATATCACCTCACTGTGCTTGGCCTGGTGTTCTAGAAGAGGGGAGAAAGCAGCCTCCTTGTTACCGTTGCTGGTCTTGATCGGCCTATTCTTGTTGTCCTTGTCGAAGAGTTGCATCGTCCAGCCATTGTTTCCGTCGACATCTTTGCATCCTTGCGATAGAGGTGGAATAAGACGGTACGATGCCGCACCCTTGGAAAACTTGAACTTCACGTCGTCGCCATATGCGGCTTTTAGGCCTTCCTCGGGGGTGATGCGGTAATGAGCATTCAATGACGCACTCCCGCCACCGTGGATGAGAGCCTCCTTGGCTAGTCCGAAAAGACCAATTGTCTTGCCCTTGACCTGCTCTTTTCGCAGTGGCAGGACACCATCATTCTTCAGTAGAGTGATTCCCTGCCCGGCCACATCGCGGATGGTTTTGCAGTGCCTTGGGTCAACAACCGACCTCTCTGGTGGAATCTCGGGGTTTTCAAAGGCCCCAACCTTCTCGATCAGGTTCAGGACATTTCTCGCTCGCTCTGTGATGGTAGCTTCTGTGACTTGGCCCTTTTTAACGGCGTCGGTAACTGCATCGATGCTACGCCATCTTGTTGGTCCCGGCATCTCAAGATCTAGTCCAGCATTCAACGAGTCAGCGGTCGAGTTTGTACCACCCCAGTCACTCATGATGAGGCCATTCCATCCCCATTCCCCACGCAGAATTTGCTTTAACAAAAACTCGTTCGAGTCTGCATGTGTGCCGTTGACCTTGTTGTACGCGGTCATGACGGCGAGGGGATGAGCCTCTTTGACCGTAATCTCAAAAGGCTTCATGTAGATCTCTCGCAGTGCGCGCTCAGAGACAATCTCGTTGACTCGCAGACGGTCAGTCTCCTGCTCGTTGGCTGCAAAGTGCTTGATTGTGGCTGCAATGCCGTTTTCCTGCAGTCCATTTACAACATGGGCAGCCATCTTCCCAGCGAGGTACGGATCCTCGGAGAATGATTCAAAGTTCCGGCCCCCAAGTGGGTGTCGATGGTTGCACATGGTGGGCGCAAGGCTATGGCATGATTAGTGATTACCCTCGGATGCTGTAAAGGCGTACACATACAGCACCCGTGCGCTCTTGGTCTTGGTCTCCTCTGCTAAGGCATGGCCAATTCGCGTGCCGTTTGCAGGGTTCCATGTTGCGGCTGCACATACGGCAGCAGGAAAGCATGCTGCTCGAGTTCCTCCCGTGAAGACTCCACCACGAGCACCGTTCGGACCGTCGCTCGTCTTTAGTTTGTCAGAGGAGAAGCACCAACCGTCCTAATCAGAAGTCATACCTTGATGGCAGGAACACCTTTCTCTGGGATAGGAACTGTTTCCCAAAAGTCCTTGCCAGCAAGGAGGGCAATCTTCTCTTGCAGTGTCAGAGACTGGAGGACAGTCTCGACCTTTGAGCTCATAGCGGCAGTTCAACCGATATGGTCTGTCGAACCGAGGCAACAGATGCACTTGGAGAAAATCTCCCTTGAAGCCTCTTTTAACCGCGCAGCCCTCATCGTCTTATGTAGCGAACCGTGTTTTGCTCGACTGCCTTGCTTTCGGAGCTATTGCCCGTTTTCCCGGCTGGAGCTCCGTCGTGCGCCCATATGCTCATTGCAAGACGACGATGTGGAGAAGTTCACGCATGCCTGATTGGCCAACCTTCGAAGGCCACCGTAGCGGCATGGTTGCGAGTGCCGAAGTTCTGCCTTACGCACTGCGTTATTCGTTGGATCCCTCGGCGTCGCCATGATATGCCGAAGATCAGCCTCTCGGCGGGAAGTCGCGTTCCACTCTGCATCAGATGACAGGGGAGCACGGTGAATAAGCTGGCACCTCTGGAAAAGGGCGCGGATGTGGGAGAGGCAGGGTCTACTTTGCGACGACGACGACGACGACGACGACGAACGCGGCGGGCACGGGTGGTGAGGCCTGTCTTAGTCAGATTTGCGGAAGACTTCCGAGGTCAATCCGCCATAGCCGTAGGACCCACGTGCTTGGCTGGCAGCTCTGCTAGGTGCACTCCACCGTGATACGTCATGTTCTATCTGCGCTAGGGTTTTGTTTTGCACTCGTATCTTTTGCACCGTCTGGCTGTCTTGTACCGCGTTTCTGAGCTGTTTATTCGACGTTTACCCATATCCCCTGTCTTCTCTTCACATTGTGTGTTGCACAAAATGGTCATCGAGGCCAAAAAGACCGCGGAGATGGAGCCAACGTCGAGCCGGCGACACCCGCTGCAGCGCTTCGACGCCCCATCCAAGGGCTTTTCAGGTGCTCTACACGTGAGTTGGGAACGGAAAACAGCCTCCAATCTAATTCCAAGCTGATTATATATATTATGATAGGCTATTGGCCTGGCAAGCTTCTATATGTCGTTTAAATTGTATGTATCCGAATCCCCGGCACAACCACCCATACTTGGAGCAAAACACACCTAATACATGATAGTCTGGCCGACAACCCAAATGTCTTTGTGAGTTGATGCCATCTGCACGCGGGATAGCCACACACCGGTGCTAACACGTTCCCAAGAATTCTTCTTTTGGCTGGCACCTCCAATTCCTTACTATAATCGGCCTCTCCATCTCTACCCTAACCTTCATCGTCGCCCTCTTGGCAGATCTAACCTCCACAGCGTTGGAGAAGTCTTCCCAGCTGCCTTCGGACCCTCCGGCTCAAGCCCTCTCCGAGCACCTGTTTAGGTTGAAGAACTACCTAGCTCTTGTGGCTGCGCCAATGGAAATTACCATTTCCGTGCTCTACTGGACGCTGAAGGCCATTGATGGAAAATTGCTCGTGGACCCGTATGTGCAGTATTTCGTATGCCGTTGCTCCAGGGTTTTTTTGTTATTTCGTGTAAATGGATGGACGGGCTAACTGTCGTGAGTGACAGAGAAATACCACTGCCACCTCTTTTCTACGATTTTGGATTCCATCTCGTACCCGCCGTGGTTCTTAGCCTCGACTCCGTCTTACTCTCCCCTCCTTGGCCCACCACGCCCATGAACGAGTCCGCACCCATGATTACCCTTGCCATGTCCACCATTGTCGCCTTTGCCTACTGGATCTGGATTGTAAGTGCTAAGATTTTTCCAAGTCCCTGTTTCATTCCTCCTGTCGTGTTCTCTAACGCCAAGATTAGGAAATCTGCTACTCTCAAAACGGCTTCTACCCATACCCAATCTTCGAGCTCCTGACTACCAACCAGCGCATTGGCTTGTTTGTCGTAAGCGGAGTCATCATGTGGGTTGTGGGTGGGGTTCTGAGAATCATATATGCCAAAGTCAATGGATATGAGAGCGTTGAGCATTTGGACAAGGTGAGGAGGAACAGGGTCATGGGCGGAAGTGGAAAGTGGGAGTAGGAATAAGCAGAAATGTGGAATGTGAGATATAGTACGCGACTGGAGGAAGAGATGGAGTAGCTAGAATGCATGCATGGGGGAAGGGAATGGTACCAGGAAGATAGGCAAGTCATGGAAGTGGAGATAAAGAGTGAAGATAAAAACACAAACCAAAAGTAGTTGGCCATATTAGAGTAGAATATACATGGAGCCACATGACGCGCTGGAGTATCTTGGGAGGGGTGAGGCATGAATCACAACAAGCTATATTCTGTCGTAGCTACTTTATGAATGCCGGAAACGTAAAAGCAGCGATACTTTGCATGCCCATCAGCTTCTTACCAGCAACCCATGCTCGCGAAAGAAACTAAGCAGTTGAGAGCAGCGTAGAAATGCGCAAAGGACATGCCCGAGTATCTGTCCGGCGACCTGCATAGCCTGTCTCTTCCGAAATAGCATATTGCATCGTATGGGATATCGTCAGTTGTAACATAAATCATATAACAGCATACAGAAACCGAGCCCTGGAAAATTATGAAGAAAACCCGCTCTGGGCGGGATTGCGTAAACGCAACGAGCGGAATGGTGCCGGGTTGTAGGAGTCATGCCAGCAGAGATTGGCATGGCGTGGTGATCTTTCAGCTAGTGGAAGGAGAGGGTGGAGCGGTAATGGTGCGTTGATCGTCGTCATCATCATCCTGGCCTTGTTGCTGGTAGCCATTGGATGCATTGTACAAGTGGCTACCAAACTGGAAGCCGTTATGGTCAGGCCCTAGGCCGTATGAGTAAACAGGATACTGGTAGCCAGTGCTCTGGTGACTGTGGCCATTTCCGTACGTTGCTTGGTGAAATGAAGGCAGGATGTTCTCCTTGTTTTCGTATTCGAACGGATCGTTGAAAGGCTTATAAGAGTTGAAAGGGGGCACTGGGCTTGGAGATGGCTGGCGCGTAAAGCCAGACGTAAGATATGTCAGACTGTTCGGCTGCGAGTAGGTAGCACTGTCATCATCTTGAAAGACATCGAAACGTTTTCGCTTCGACGCGCGACTGTTGTTCTTGGCGCGCCCGTGGTCTTGCTCGTACTGAGCACGACCAAAGAATGAGAACGCTTGCCGGTTTGATTGTCTAGTGCGACGAGAGGTGTTGGCATCAAGATGGGCGAGGGCGGGACGCCTGCGTATCGGAGGTGAGCTCTCAGACTTGATGTCAATCTCGTCCTCGTCATCAGACTCGGAGCATGAGATTCTCCTCTGCCGTTTGAATGATCCCATGGGAGTGAAGATGAGCTCAGTAGCTTCCACGTCTAAGGAATTGAGCTCCAACTGTGCAACGACAGAACTGTCTTTCTTTTGGTTTCTCTTGCGTCGCATCTCTGGGGTAGCAGAGTCAAAGATGTCCATCCCGGGCCAGTATACCCCCTTGAGCTTGGTCGACTCGCTGACAGCCATTGGGTCTGCCATGTCTGCAGGATCATCCTCGATGGCGCAAGAAGCCGCTGAATATCGATACGGTCTTCGCCGCTCGCTGGGGTCTGAGTACTCACTCGAAGTGTCATAGTCGGGGTTGGTGTAGCTTCGGGAGCTGGCGCGTGACTCTGTAGACCAGTATTGCATGCGTGGTGCAAAAGTATTGCGACTGCGGAGAACCGGGCCCATGGGCTGTGAGATGGGTGAAGGGGATTGCTCCAGCTTTATCGTTGTATGCTGCTGCTGCTGCTGTTCCGACAAACGAGGGTCTAGGAAATTGCCTGGGGCGGCGCGGCGAACGGGCCGTGGCTCAGGAGCCTCGATCTTGGGCGCTGAAGCAGGACGAGCTGGAAGGAGGTGAAGTCAGCAACAACGTCATGGGCTAAAGCACAGGCACCGAGGGGTATACCAGCAGGCCTCGGTCGAGTGCGGCGTTTGTCCTTTTGATTCATCCGCTCTGACATGAGCTCCTCGACAGACCATTCAGCATACCACTGATCGTACGCCTCGATGAGCTGGCGGGATGCTTCCTCACTTGTGGAGCGGACCTTGACCTTGTAGTAATTGGATAAGTGGCCCTTGCTGGCAATGTGTGTGAGCAAATGGGAAACATCGCTAAAGTTTGGCTTCTTGGGACAGATGTTGCAGTGCAGCGGTATGTTGGCCATCCCGGAAAGGCGAGAGAGGCTGCGCCGTGCTGAGGCGAGGCTGCAGCGCGGAGGCTGGCGTTTGTAAGGAGCGTAAGTGAAACAGACACAAGAGCAGCGCAGTAGGGGATGCAGAGCGTTGCGAAAGGAGCGGGTTGGCAGTGGAGAAGGCGAAGTGGCAGTGCGAGTCCTGCTCATAAGAGATTCAACACAGAGATGGCTGCCGGTCGCCGCGGTAGCTCCAGCCCATTGCTCAGGCAGGGGAGAGGAAGCAGGAAAGAGACGCGAGCACTCGCAGGCAGAAGATGGAGGAAGGCACAGCGGTTTGGAGAGCAAGAGGAAGCTTGTTGGTGGTGTTGTAGCAGTCAGAGCACGTGCAGAGGCTCGGCACTGACAAAAGAGGCAGCCACCGTTGCTGTGCTCCCGCTTTGTGTCTCAGGGTCTATGGAGCAGACGGTGAGGTATTAGAGAGCGGGAGGGCAGTGGCAGGCTATGAATAGCCACGGGCTGGATATGCAGAGAGTCACGCAAAGGGGAGGTCCGTCTGGCACGACGAGGCCATGCAGGGGGTGCAGGCACGCATATTGCACCCGGCAGCAGCACACACGAGAGGCAAACGAGCGAGTGCACATGTCGCCTTGTATGTAGCATTTGCAATCACTTACCTAAGCATCTACGAGTGACGGAGCGAGGCATGCAGCTAGGGGGGGGAGGGCGTGGTCAGTATGGGTCCAGGGCACGTGACGAGGGGCACATACTAGACTGGATCTACCTCTTCCAGGCCGGGGTACTTGAGCAGACTGAGGCCGGCGATGCCAAAGACGGTGTGGAAAACATCAACCATGTCGCCAGGGCGGTCCGCGAGGCCACCCAGCTCGGGATCCTAGTTGTGTGTTGTTGTTAGAGGCTGGCTGTGGTAGAGAGGGATGGAGGGATGGAGGGATGGAGGGATGGAGGGATGGAGGGATGGAGGGATGGAGGGATGGAGGGATGGATCCGCACCTGGCACTGCAGGATAAAGGTCGTCAGCTTGGCAGCGTCGATCCAGTGCAGCTTGTCGAGCATGGCCATGCTGCTCATGACCCACCAGCTGTAGCAGACGTCTTCCTTCTTCTCGGGGCGGCCGTTGAGGCCGCCGTTGTTGAGCTGTCGTTCGCTCAGCCACGCGCCCAGCTTGTCGCGGTCGACCAGGTCGAGTCTCCCCGCGATGGTCAGTGCGCCAACACACGTAAACACCTGACCGGCATGCGATTCAGCGCCCGGGCTGGTGCCATAGCCGCCGTCAAAGTTGGCGCACGAGTCGACGTACTGGGCGGCTTTTGCCACATCGACGAGGTCGAGCAGGCCCATGAGCGAGAGGGCATTGAGGGCGCCGTACAGGAAGCGCGTGTCCTGCTCGCCCCAGGCGTCGCCCGCAAAGGTGCCTGTTTCCGCATCCTGCAGATTTGCAATAACTAGACATGGCATGAGCACGGCGGCCCTACGACTACGACGGCGGCTGTTACACGGAGAGCAGCGCGCGCAGACAACTTACACAGGCCAATCTTGTGGCGGGCGCCGGGGATGCGTTCGTCGAGCTCGGCAAAAGCGTCGAGAGTAGCGAGTATCTGGACGGCACTAACGGTATACAGCATGTGGGCATCGTGGCCCGGGGCAGCACCGAAGCCGCCGTGCGGGTGCAGGCACGACACGACAAAGTCCAGAATGTCGCTGCGCGGCAGGGCGTTGGCATGGCCGAGCAGATGCAGCGCCGTCAGCCCCCAGTAGAGGCCATTCAGACGCAGGTGTTCGGTGAGCCAGTACTCGAGCTCGTCTTTGCGCTGCGGCGGGTCAGCGCGGGACTGGATGGGTGGGAGCTTGCGCGGCCACGCAGACGCTGGAGCTTGCTACGCACAGTGTCGAGACTCTGGACGTAGCGGACGTGCTTGTCGACAAAGAGATGCATTTCGGCGGGCATGGGCGCCGTGCCAGCACGCCCGGGCCCGGAAACAAGAGACATGTCAGATGTGGAATTGGGGGTGTGTGTGTGTGTGTGCAGTCGACGAGGGAGCGAGGGCAAGGCTCTAGTGCGGGTTGCAAGTGCGAGCAAGTGTGGGCAGGTGTGAGCAGGTGCTCCGGTGACGGGTTACAGGTGTCGGCGCATTGATGTGTGTCTCGAGGGATTGCGTCGGACGACAGGGATGGGGCCTGGCGGGCGGGCTCGAGGGGGGGTGAGATGGGGGGGCAGCGAGGACAGCGAGGGCAGCGGGCGAGGGCAGCGGGCGAGGGCTGCAGGCTGGAGAGCGTCTGAAACAGGGCCTTGGCGGCCTTTGGGCCGTGGATCCATGCATCTTCGGTCTGGTCTGCACTGCACTGTACCTGCACCGCACCATGGTTGAAGGGTTGCCGCGCCAGCCTGTCGCGGTGGATACCCAATGTCGGGCCTCTGTCTCTCGCCGTCGCCCTCTCTTTCTCCGTGTGTGTGCCTCTGTAGAGGCGTCTCTTTGTGGGCCATGCCGCGGGCGCAAGAGCCGTCCCCCCCTCTCACACACCGCCCGTAACACTACGGCTGCGACCACGACCTGTCTGCGCACCATGGCAGTAGCAACCGCAATAGCGTGTGCTGGGCCGGATTGGGGGGTTTAGCAGCGTTGCGCCCGCGTACCTGGGGCCGTGCGCCACCGGTGGGTGCCGCCTTCGCCGCCTTTTGCCAGGCCATGTGCATGCGCTCTAATCTGCTCTGGCAGCAGCAGTACACACGTCGCCGCCAAACACCACACAAAGCAGACCGACGCGCCCCCCGCCAGACGCCGCCGCGGGTCCAGCGGCCCTGCACACGACGGCCGCCTGCCGTGCAGCGCCTATTGGGCGCGGCACATGAGTGTTTGGGCGGGCCAGGAACCTGTGTTTGCCCATGGCTGTCAGCGGCACGCTCGATGGTGACATGAGGGGGGGGGGAAGGGTGGGAGCGAGCGAGGAGTAGGAGGGCGCGGGGTAGTACGAACCGTAAGAGGCGTGGTGGAGTCGTTGGGTGCCCCGGTCAAGGCTCCCTCTGCAAGCGTGTCTTGATGCGTCGGGTGCGAGGCAGTCGGATATATCTCACCAACGGCAACGTGTCGCTCCCATGCAGGAACGCAGGAGGAACGGGGGGTGTGGATTCCGAGCGCGTGACGCCGAGGACAGCGCTGGCGGTGCGTGGCACTCTTTGCTTTCTGGCAGCTTCCCCTGATGGAGGTGGGATTTGGCGGGCGAGGACAGCAAGGCGATCATGCAGCGTCTGGGATGGCGTCAGTAAGCGTTGCAGAGGGTCAAAGGGGCGGGCGCTTTGGCGACTGCGGTACAACATTGGAGAGGCCACGCGTAGAAACAAAAGAGGGAGGTGTCCCAATGCTGGTCTGAGGCACCGGCCGACTTACCCACTCTCTCACACATGCACGCCCAAACAAGGGGAAACGCCAATCTGGGAGTCGCGGGCGGGAGACAAAGACAGGGACGCAGCAGCAGCGGCAGCCGTGTGCGCGTGGAGAAGGGTTCACGGGCAGCGAGAGGATGGAGCCAGTGGAGCTATTTTGGGGCTCAGCAGGCGTGGGTTCCTGACTACAGTACAAGCCCGTTGCAAGGGCGAGGGCTGTGGGCGGGTGGTGGACACGGCGGAAGCAGTGGGTGTGTCGGCGGGCGTGGGTGTGTGGGAGTATGTGTGGGTGAGAGTGTGAGTGTGAGTGTGTATGTGCGTGTGTGTGGGTGTGTGGGTGTGTGTGTGTGCGTATGGGCGCGCAGCGAGAGACAGGCTGCTGCTTTGGCCAACAAGTCAGCAGCAGAAGGGGCACGAAAAAGGATGAGATGAATTGGGGGGGGGGTGCGCGGGGATCGTCGCTGGGCCCCAAGGCACATGGGCGCGGAGCTGGTGTGGGTGTGCCCTCTATTACTCTACACTACTCTGCTCTACTACTACACGCATACTCTCTGCCCTGCCCTGCTGCTGCTGCTGCTGCTCTGCTGTGCGCGACCCACCACCCCCCCGACTGCCTCGCACACGCGCCGCATTGCCTGCACCCACTCTCGTTTCCTTTGTCTACACGTCGCCGCGCTTTTCTCAGACGCTCTCGCCCAACTATCCGGCCGCTCCATTTGCAAGCCGGGCGCGCGGATATAGACGGGCATCGCTGACAAAGAGCGCCGTGCTAAGCGGCCAGTAATAGCCCCGGACTTGTCCGCGGCAAACATCAGCAAAGATGCCCAAATCTTCCACACTGTCGTTGGCCATGCGGGGGAAGCCAAAGGATAATGGCAATACGCCCATGAGCCCGCGGAGTCCACGGTCGCCAGATTTGCCAGAGGAGTTTGAATACGCAGCACCCAATGCCGCATTCCACAACATGCCACAGTCGCCCGCCTCGCCCAAGCCTCGCAAGGACTCCAAGAGCATCTTTGCCAATTTTTCCGCCAACAAGTCGTCGTCGCGCCTGAACAACAGCCAAGGTAACCCAATGCGCCAGCAGCAACCATCCCCCAGCCTATATTCCAATGGGCGGAGTGGCGCCTCCACACCGGATCTCGGCCGCCCCGTGCGCACTCCCAATTCTGACGGTAAGGCTGCAGAACTCCTGACAAACCCTCATGTGCTAATTATAGTGCAGATACGAGCTCCGAAGTGGTACGCTTGGACCAGCGGACAGAGTCTGGCTTGTCAAACGAATCTGACACGCACACCGACCCTTCTAAACGCACCACCATAAAGCCCAAGAAGCAAGGTATTCTATCCAGATCAAAGTCTATCAAAGAAGGCGAAGGCTCGGCATCCCGCACAAAGCTGAACAAGGTACCTCCGGCGCAATTGTCACCGGACATTGCAGGGTCGTGGACGACGAATGGCGACGGTACGCCGCTCAAGACCGCGCCAATCGACAAGGGTCAGTCCTGGCGCCAGATGGGCATGGGCAAGATGAGGACACATTCGGCGGATCGGCAGGACGGATACAAGGCAATACCACGCGAAGACGACAATGGGTCAAGAAGAGACAAGTCCGAGCAGTTGTCGGTCGCCTCCAACTCGTTCAACGAAAGCAAAGGCCATGGCTTCATCTCCAAGCTTGGTTCAGGGGCTCGCAACATGGGAGAGAAGATGGACTCTGCGCGCAAGGGTGTTTTCGGCAAACTGGGACGGAGTTCGAGCAACCACGAGAGCCAGACGCCTATACTGAACGAGCCATATGTCTGCAAAATCATACATAAGCCGCTGATAGAACAGACGCGGCTGACTCGAATATCGACTCGGCTGGAACAGTCACGCGACAAGACAGAATTCTGGATGCCGGCTTTACCTTGGCGGTGCATCGAGTATGTACAATACCCAAGCGGAACACAATTCAGTTGCTAACAAATGGCGCAGCTACCTAAACATGCGAGGTTGCGAAGAAGAGGGCCTATATCGTGTCCCGGGCTCAGCCCAGCAAGTCCGGTATTACGAACGCAAGTTTGATGAGGGTATGTTTACCATGTCTACTATAAATGTGCGATTACTGACCAGACTACAGACCGGGATATTGATTTAATCAGCGACCCAAATCTCAACGATCCCAACGTCATTGGCTCCCTCTTCAAAAACTGGTTACGACAACTACCAGATGAAATTTTCCCGAAAACGATACAAGCCGCAATCCAACAAGAGTGCCAGGGCGCAAAGACGACACCACAGATGCTCAAGGATGAGCTTTCGAAACTGCCCCCGTTCAACTACTATCTTCTATTCGCAATCACTTGCCACATCAGCCTGTTGCACTCTTGCTCCGAATTCAACAAGATGAACTACAACAACTTATGCATCTGTTTCCAGCCAGCCATCAAGATTGATGCCTTTTGCTTTCAGTTCCTTATCTTGGATTGGCGAAACTGCTGGCAGGGCTGCTGGACAGAGAAGGATTTCCTTGCAGAGGAGATCAACTTCCTCAACGCGGTCGAGGCCGAGAACCAGCTCCAACAACAACAACAACTACTACTACAACAGCAACAACAACAACAACAACAGACGTCGAAAAATGGTCACCCTCAGAGCGCCGGCAAAAGCAAAGGCTCGTCACAACAGAAGCCTTCTACCAAACGGAGTCAATCCACGGACCACATCAAATCGTCTTCACGGGGACTCTCCTCGGACAGAAATGGACGTGCCACACCATCCAACCCTCCACTGGTCTTGCCAGAACCTTCGAGCAACCCGGTATTGCGCATGCGTGGCGGTGGTTACGGTGAGCGTGAGACGTCGCCAGAACGGGTGACTTCGTCTTCAGACAGCCGAGAAGGTGTACCCCACAAACGAGGAGCCCCACGCGCGCCCCCATCGGTTAGCACAGAGGCGTCTTCGATTGACCTGGATGAAAACACGACACCCACACAAGCGAATCATGGCCGTGACCACTCAGAATCGACACAATTCCGCCTGGACCTACGCGACCCACCAGGCTCACCGTTCAACATCAAGTTTTGAGAAAAGAAACGAAAAAAAAGGAGGAGTCGAGCAGTAAATAGGCCCCTTGGTGCGCACGCATGAGGCGATGAACAAGAGAGGGTTGGATTTGAGCGGTTGTTTTGCGCATCTTCAATTCGTCCTGTGTGAGCTGCCACGAGGGCGCGATACCCGTCTTTTGACCACTCTGTGCTCGTGGCAGCAGTCTTGCCCCGATATTTGTTTAGTAGCCAGCGCTGGAGTTTGGGCTGCATATTCATTAGCTGCTTTATTCCTGCATCATGTTGCATACAGGCGTTGGCTGACAACGCTGCAGTCCAATGGCGCGGGGTCTAGGCATTGGTCCCAACGCAATCGAGTTGGTACGGCAGAAACTGTTGAATACGCTGAAACTACCATGGAAAAAGGGGGGATGGCGCAGTGGTGGAGCGCCTGGAAAATTTTCTGCTGTCTCACGTCAGCAAAGATCGAAGGTTCGAATCCTTCTCCCCTCACAACCATATTTATGGTCCACCCACATGAGAGAGTTACTCATTAAACTACCTATTCGACTGAGAGAGTTACTCGTTAAAACTTGAGAGGAAGACTCATTTAAAGTGAAAGATCTGAGAGAGTTACTCACTAAAAAACTACTAGGCTACGAGCCTCACCTTCATTTAGATAACCCCCTACATTGTACCTACTCAATTTGTACCTAGATTAAATTCTAGCCTACGTAGTTACTTGCAGGCCTTAAGCCTGCACGTCTTATATAGCCCTTTGGGCTGAGAAAGGACGTTAAACTACAATAATAATAATAATAATAATAATAATAATAATACCATGGAAAAGCTTATTTATGCGCGCTCACCGGGCACTGCAGCCTCGTATGGTACAAGTGGGCTCGCTCAGATGCTACTTCTTCCCCAACCCATGCTTTCGAACGGGGCGGCAGGCTGGGGTTAGAGCTTGGGGCAATGACGTGTGGACGTTTCCCGCGCGTTGCGCTTGCGGCTGATGTAGGTCGTGGTCGCGACCGCCCACACACACCACTAATCTCACACACGTCGCCAGGTGCTGCTTCTCCTCTCCCACACCGAGGGCAATTGATTCTCTCGGAAGCTTCTGCCCGTACGGCCGCTGAACTGTTGTTTATAGGCCTGGCTCAGCTGGCTGCTCCTCCACTCTTCCTTCACAGTACTTCCCCCCCGCCTCCCAGCCGTTTCTCACTGCAGCGTCCACGCCAGCACTACTACTGCTCTCCTGTCACTATCCTACAGCACCTATCATCGTTACTTTGCTCACATTTTAGCCTGGACATTGCATCATTCGACATCGCCATGTCTGCAGTTCTACCTCACCACGCAAAGCCCGCCGACCGCAAGGTTGTCTACCTGCTGCCCTTAACCGACTACGGCAGCCCAGACGTGCCGGGCACCTACATTTACCTGCCCCCACCATCCAACCCGGCCTACTCGGTCTGCTTCCAAATCCAGGGTACCAGCTCAATATGTCGCGAGGGCAGTCTTTGGGTCAACATTCCCGCCGAGGGAGAGAAGTTTGAGCGCAGTAACTACCGCGAGTACAAGTGAGTTGTTGCTTCTGCCACACTCTGTGGTGCCACATGTCGCTAACGCCGGACGCAGGCTGCAGCCCAACTTCACGGGTCTGTGTGAAATTGAGATCCCGATACACGAAGCCAATGCCTTCTCCTTCTACACGACGTACACGCCGCTGCCCCAGTGGTCCTTCACGGACGTTGCGTCACCAGAGCCCACACGTACCGATACATTCTACATTGATGTTTGCCCGAGCCTGGAGCTGCATGGCGAGCACTTGCCGGTCGAGGCTGTCTGCATCTTCTCTTGCCTATCAAAATTCATGGGCAGCTACCCCACCGACTGGGACAACCATCTCCGGGGCATTAGTCAGCGTGGCTACAACATGATACACTTCACGCCACTCATGATGCGGGGTGCTTCGAATTCGCCGTACAGCATATACGACCAACTCAAGTTCGACGAAGCCGTCTTCAAGAACGGCGAGGAGGACATTGGGGACATGGTCCGTAAGATGCACGATGAGTTCAATTTGCTTGCTATGACCGATGTCGTCTGGAACCACACGGCCCACAACAGCAAGTGGCTTGAAGAGCATCCTGAATCGGGCTACAATGTTGATACGGCACCTCACCTGCGCCCTGCACTCGAACTCGATACTGCACTGTTGCAATTCGGCAAGGAGCTCAAAGAGCACGGTCTGCCGACCACCTTTGATAGTGAGGCAGATCTCCTCAAGGTTCTGGAAGGCGTAAAGGAGCATGTTCTCAGCAAACTCAAGCTCTGGCAGTTCTATGTCGTTGACGTGGAGCGAGACACCAAGGCCATCATGCAGGCCTGGATATCTGGCCAAGCCAAATTTGTCGATGACAGCTTTAGTGAAGCAGGCCTTCGTGGGCTTGATGCTGTCCGAGACTGGCCGTTGAAGAAAAAGGCTGATTGGCTGGTTGAGCATGCGCTGCGTGGCGGTGACCGGATGGGCGAACGTTACCGTCGTACCATGGATCCAAACATCGGTGCTAGCCTGCTCTGCGCCTTGTTTGGCCGTTACGACACCCGTAATAGCAATACACCAGATGACCGCGCAGCACAAGGCACAATTACTGCCATTCTTAATGAGGTCAACCTTCCATTCTACCGCGAGTATGATGGCGACCAAGCCGAGATTCTGGAACAGCTCTTCAACCGGATCAAGTATGTCCGGATAGACGCCCACGGGCCCAAGCTCGGAGAAGTCAACGACGCAAACCCGCTCATTGAGACCTACTTCACACGCCTGCCACTCAATGAGACCACAAAGAAGCACAACCCCGAGGCCCTCGCTCTGGTGAACAATGGCTGGGTCTGGGCTGCGGACGCGATGCGCGACAATGCTGGTCCCAAGTCGAGGGCATATCTCAGGCGAGAGGTCATTGTCTGGGGTGATTGCGTCAAGCTTCGGTACGGAAGCGGACCAGAAGACAACCCGTTCCTCTGGGATCACATGGCCAAGTACACGCGGCTGATGGCCAAGTACTTCCAGGGCTTCAGAATCGACAACTGCCACTCGACACCTCTACACCTTGCTGAATACATGCTTGATCAAGCACGAAGTGTCAACTCCAACATCATGGTCTGCGCAGAACTTTTTACAGGCTCCGAAGAGATGGACTACAAGTTTTGCATGAAGCTCGGTATCTGCGCGCTCATTCGCGAGGCCATGCAGGCATGGAGCACCCAAGAGCTGAGCAGACTTGTACACCGTCATGGCGGTGTTCCCATTGGCAGCTTTGAAACCGACGAAGTACTCAATGCTGCACAGGAAACCAATGGAGCAGGCGAGTCGAAGCCACTCATCAAGAAGATCAAGCGCAGTCCTGTGCACGCGCTCTTCATGGACTGTACACACGACAACGAGACGCCAGCCCAGAAACGAGATGCCCGCGATACTCTCCCTAGTGCCGCACTCGTTGCCATGTGTGACTGCGCGACTGGCAGCGTTTTTGGCTTTGATGAAGTCTACCCCGAGCTGATTGAGCTTGTTCACGAGAAGAGGCTTTATTCTTCGGCCAACTCCACTGGAGAGCCAATCAAGCCGCAAGCCGGCGAAGGCGGCATTGGAGGCATCCGAAAGATCATCAATGAAACCCACGTGAAGATGGGCAAAGAAGAGTACAACGAGACGTATATCCACCACGACAAGGAATACATTACTGTTCATCGTGTCAACCCCCACACAAGGAAGGGCTACTTCTTGATTGCCCACACGGCATTCCCAGGCTACAGTGACAGCAATGGAGGATTCGGCAAGACCAATCTTCCAGGTACAAAGGCAAAGCTAATTGGCGCCTGGAATCTGGAAGTTGACAACAGCCCGGAAACAAGAGCCAGTGTGATTGGCGATAAGACAACACTACGTGGTTTGCCAAGCAAAACAAATGATCTCGAGGGCGTTCAGATCGAGTCGGCTGGCGATGATACGACAATCAGCATTCCTGACAAGTTTCCTCCAGGCAGTATCGCTCTCTTCGAAACCTGGGTACCGACTGCCGAGCACGCTGGTGGTCTGGACAAGTTTGTCACTGGCAGAGCGCGTTCAGCTTTCAGTGGGGTCAATCTAACCGATCTGAACTACATCCTGTACAGGTGCGAAGAAGAGGAGCGGGATGCTACAGACCACAAGGATGGAACTTACAACGTCCCCGATCACGGCAATCTTGTGTACGCTGGTCTGCAAGGATGGTGGAGCGTACTCCGCGACATTGTGAACGACAACAATCTTGGCCACCCTATTTGCGACCACTTACGCAAAGGCCAGTGGGCCCTCGACTACTGCCTTGGCCGTCTTCAAAAGATTTCTCAAAAAGAGAACTACGCCAACATCAAGGGACCTGCCGAATGGCTGGAGGCCAGATTCGATGCTATTCGCAAAGTCCCTAGCTACATGCTGCCACGGTACTTCGCCTTGGTTATCCAGACCGCCTACAATGCTGCAGTGGAGCGTGCAATCGAGCTGATGGGCGAAAACATCCGAGGGGGCAACCAGTTCCTCAAGAGCTTGGCGCTCGTCAGCTGCCAGGTTACAGGCTACATGAACAGCGCCTCGCTGTGGCCAGACAAGAGCGTACCCAGTATGGCTGCTGGTCTTCCTCACTTTGCATATGACTGGGCACGATGCTGGGGTCGTGACATCACAATCTCGGCCCGTGGCCTCTACATGGGCACTGGTAGGTATGATGACGCCAAAGAGCACATCTTTGCTTTCGCCAGTGTCCTCAAGCACGGCATGGTTCCCAATCTCCTTGGTGGAGGAAAGAATCCCCGCTACAACTCCCGCGACTCGGTTTGGTGGTTCCTCCAAAACATTCAGGACTACACCAAGATTGTTCCGAACGGCATGGACATTCTCCAAGACAAGGTTCGCCGACGATTCTTCCCGTACGACGACACGTGGTTTGCGCATACCGATGAACGTGCGTATTCCAAGTCATCGACTATTGAAGATGTCATCCAGGAAGCCCTCCAGCGACATGCTTCGGGCATAGAATTCCGCGAGTACGACGCAGGTCCCAACATCGACAGTCAGATGAAGTCGGAGGGCTTTAATATCAAGATCTGGACAGACTGGGAAACGGGCATAATCTTCGGTGGAAACCAGTGGAACTGTGGTACATGGATGGACAAGATGGGCGAGAGCGAAAAGGCCGGCAACAAAGGTGTTCCTGGTACGCCTCGAGATGGCGCTCCTGTCGAGATTATTGGCATGCTTTACAGCACCGTACGCTGGTGTGCCAACATGTACGCAGCCGGCCAATTCAAATACGAGGGAGTGACATTGGATGACGGCAAGAAGACGGTTACCTACCAGCAATGGGCCGATCTGATCAAGGCCAACTTTGAGCGGTGCTTCTACGTTCCTCGTTCGGCAGAGGAAGACGGCAGCTACGACGTCAACCCAAAGATCATCAATCGCCGTGGAATTTACAAGGACTTGTACCGTTCAGGCAAGGAGTATGAAGACTACCAGCTGAGGCCCAACTTTCCTGTCATGATGGTGGTTGCTCCAGATCTCTGCGACCCTGAACATGCCTTGTATGCTCTCCAGATGGCCGACAGGGTCCTACTTGGTCCTCAGGGTATGAAGACACTCGACCCGTCTGACTTGAACTACCGGGGCTACTACATCAACAGCGAGGACTCTACCGACTTTCACACAGCCAAGGGCCGCAACTACCACCAAGGACCTGAGTGGCTCTGGCCTACGGGGTTCTTCCTGCGCGCCCTGCTCAAATTCGATCTCCAGCGACGCAAGACGCCCGAAGAGCGCGTTGAGAGCTACCAACAAGTCACACGTCGTCTTGCTGGCTGCATGAAGGCAATTCAAGAGTCTCCTTGGGCTGGCCTGACGGAGCTGACGCAAAAGAACGGCGAGTTCTGTGGCGACTCGTGCCCCACTCAGAGTTGGAGTGCTAGCTGCATTATCGACTTGTTCCAGGACGCGCGAGAGTATGAGATGGCAGGATCGGATAAGGCTGGCCAGCAGTCTTCATCGTAGGCGGATGCGGTTGGAAGTGCTACGAGCACGTTTCTTCGGTTGATGTAAGGCGGTTGAGGCGGTTGGAGAGGAAGTGTTTGTGGTAGGGTAATGGGGTGTTGCAGTTTCCTAGATATCCAGTCAATGACCTATGATTTGTCTCCAATGCTGTTCTGGTACTCCTAGTGGTGTGTGGTAGTAGTGCCTTTGTCTTTACTCACAATAAGCTCTCGCTGTATACTATGTGTGTGTGTGTATGTCTTGTTTGAGATGATGTGCCTGCCAGCGTAGCCTGCCATATCATAGCCTTTGATTGTCCATGTTTCGGCCAGTTGTTCTCTTAGCAAGAAAGATGTTCTAGGCCAGATACAGCAAATGAAAGGAAGAAAGAAAAAAAACCGAAAGATAGATCAGCACGACAGGAGAAAGAAAGGGAGCATGTGCAGAAATGAAGAGGAGGAGGAGGAGGAGGAGGAGGAGGAAGGTGGTAGTAGGGGAGAGATAGTCATTGGATGGATGGATAGATTAACCAAGAAGATGCACAAGCCACTGTAGAGTAGGAGTAGGAGTAGTACCAACAACCAAGCATCGTCGCATTACTCATCCATGTATATCTTGCACCTACACCACACACAGACACACACTCACTCACCCGTGTACTCATCTACCTACCTACCTACCTACCTACCCAGCACATGGCCTCGTGTCGAGAAGAAGAAGAAGAAGAAGAAGAAGAAGAAGAAAAAAAGCCACCCCTCCCCCTTGTTCGCATGAAGATGGACATGGACATGGACATCCCAGTCTTTCACTTTTTTTTCATCATCTTTCCTCACCCTGGGTCTTTTCTTCCTTTTCCTTTTCTTTTTCTTTTCTCTCTTCTCACTAACTAAGCACACTTCTTGCTTGCTTGCTTGCTGGGATCCGCCCGGGCAGACTAGCTCTTGGCATCGCTGTGGCCGGAGGGGAAGGAGGCGGCGGCGGCGGAGAGCGGAGGAGGTGGTGGTGGCGTAATGATAGCTCCCCCCCCCCCCAGCCCTGCATCTGTGTGTGGTCTGGATGGATAGATAGATAGACGGATGGAGGGATACGATAGGTATAGTTCCAATCGCGCTAGGCCCCATGTCATGCAGCGTGTAAGTGTACCGTTGTAATGGGCGGTGGGGGCGTACAAAGCGAAGGAACGTGCTGTGATGCTGCGTTATCGTCATCGTCATCATTGTTGTTGTCCATCATGACTGTCGTCGTAGTTGTGGTCTTCAAGCCCCACCACCAGGTATGTATGTGTATGGTATGGTCTGTATGTATGTTGCAACGATGGGAACGAGCGACGATATACTAGGGCGATCATGAAGCAAGTGTGGAGACTGGGACGGATGCATCGCGAACTTTTTTTTCCAAATCACAAGGGTTGTTGTGGTTTCCGTGCCACCACCCACACACCCCGTACACCTATACACATGTATGTGTGGGTGTGTATGTACAGATGAAAAGTACGATCGAAGGATCAAAGTGGGGTGGGGGGAGATGGTGTTGCTCGACGGGATATACTGAAAGAGGAAAAAAGATCGATGCACATGCATGGCCAAGTAGACAGGAATAGGTGAAGGAATTAGACGAGAAATGCAATGGAAGTATCCAGCCGTGCGCATCAAGTCCCCTTGGCTGATATCGACTAAGAGGGAAATGGACGAGGGCGTTTGCACACGAGACTAGGTGTGCAATGTCGGCGAGATGCTCGGCGCCTTCGGACTCTCGGTACCAAACTTGTCCCCGTACCGTATATGAAGATGAGTATGTATGCGGTTAGGACTCCCGGATCCTTTGCTCCTTTGTTCCTTTTTTTCATTTCCTTTTGTCTCCTCTCACACACACTCTCTCTCTTTCTCTTTCCATCCCTAGTGCTGCTCTTTACTGGACTTTTTTGCTTTTTCGGGCAACGGTCGTGACTTAATGCACCCCACACCACCCTATTTCCAGAGTATCGTGTCCGATCTCGTGTCTTGACGGGCCGATACAATGCATGCAATGTACTCCATCGCTCTTCTGCATGGCCGATATCGATCCTGCATGATGATATGATCGGGACCAGGGGAGAGCGCATGTGGAGAGAGGATGAAGAAGAAAAACAAAGCAAAGTACCAAGGAATGTAAGCAAACAATAGAAGGATTGTAGTAGATTACCAATATGGGCGTACTCACCAATTCTCGTCCCTCGCCTTTCCCTTAGTACCATGAACGTGTAAACGCTGTAGCCGACGGGAGCTGAATGGTCCGGATCGCCTTCCCACCAATCCGCTCTTTTCGTCCATATAGCGGCTGACTGGCTTGACGCAAGGGTAGGCGAAGAAAGAGGAGAAAAAAAGCAATGTCCAACCATCAGACAGAAAGGAAAGTGCGGAGAGAATGAGGTTGAGTAGAGTGAAGTGAAAAAAAGCAGACGTGATACGCCATCATGACTAGATAAGATAGGAAAGGCGAGATAGAGTGTAAGAAAAACAAATGCCTAGGGTTCGGCATCGAATCGGGATGTGCATGCTACCGAGGTTTAGGCGACTGGCTGGCTGGTGGCTGTGGCAAATGGAGAGCTTTGGGGAAAGACAAATGAGGATTTGCTCTCCACTACACGTTGGGACTTGGGGCTGTTGCTTTGTTTTCGTCTGGCTGACGCTTGGGCACTTGGTTTCCACTCGTAGGTTCTCAGAATGTCACTGCGAGAGGCTGATAGGCATGTAAATTTGGCGTCTTTGGTTGGCTGGCTGACGATGATTTTCGAAAATAGGGCCGTGACGGCAAAGGCGCGGTAGATATTGGACCAGGTACAACTGCGCTGGCGGTTTGAGGCGTTGGTTGATGCTACGCCGAGTCACAGCTCCGAAGAGACGCGAACTTGAGCGCGTCACAGATGGATGTGCGCATACGTCTGCCTGATTGTGAGAAGCGCTGGAGATTTTCCTCACCACCATGTCAACCTAGTGATACATGTGTCCAAAAGTAATGGGTGTCTTTCAGACACTCTTTCCGATTATGGACAAAAGCGCGACCAAATGTCTTCTTCGTAAGAAGAAAGATGCCGATAGCTGCATACGTAGATCAGCAAGACCCGACAGTGTGTTTCCTCATATTCACCTGACCTGTACATGCTGTAGGTGCCAAGAAAAACCCACCGTTTGCGGTAGATGATGTGCAAGGGTGCGATAGCGACGCGTCGCGCTACAGAGTCGCCACGAATACTGTAGGAGTTGCGAAGATCCAAGTAGATATTTGCAGCGTTGATCTATCCATAATGATGGCTGCATCGCTGGCATCTCGCACAAGCTTGATGTCATGTCCGTTTTTCTTTTACTCTTTTGAAGCCAGTGTGTGGCATTTGATTTGCGTCTGTCTCAACCAAGGCACCTAGACAGACTGGCACAACAACGCTCAAGCCGTCGGATCCGGCAATGACCAGCAGTAAGGTGGAACACAAGCGCGGTGTCTACTAGTCAATTCCTGGGCTATCAGCTTGTATCGGCTCGCTTCTCTGCGCTTTTTGTTCTCATCACCGGCTCCTCAAACATACTTGCTGGGTGTATAGCAGATGATATGTTGCTGAATGGCCTTCGGCTGCGTGGATCCGTGGCCAAGATCGCCCATTTCTAAAACAGGAGAGGTAGGCGATCACTGCACGACATCAAGCCAATAGATATGCGCATGTGACGCGGCACAGGTTGAAGACAGGTGTGGAGTAGAATTGCAGCGAGATAAAATAAAAGCGAACGCGAATTTGAGGCCCCGAAGCGGCAGGCGACAACTGGCGACCAGCTTGCGTGTCTTTAACACCAGGCCATCCTGGCAAAGATGATATCCATATGCAAGCGCTCTTCTGTAGCATATCGAGCACCATAGACGTGTTTCTTAGGGTATTATCAGCCCGGATCGACAGACGCATCTTGACCTTTTACCGGTCATGCCGCCTCTCCTGCGACACCATCAATGGTCACCAGAAGCTAAGGTGGTTTCTTTTGAGAAGTGTGCAGAAGACAGAGCATGACTGGCCTTGTGAGTTGTGGAGCAAAGGATTCTAAATCCCGCCAGCGCCATTGAGGACTGACCGGATGCCTGTAGACGAATAGCCATGACCTTACTTGCTACCGATCAGGATGTCGTGCAGGTAATGGAAAACAGCCAACCATATCCTGTTTGTGAATATTCGGTGGCGGCAGGTCCCCGCTGCAGTCAGCATCAAGGGTAAACCGTGGAACTCGGCAGACTCGTTAACAGGACACTTTATCGCAAAGGCATATTCAAATCATACGCGTTGGTATATCCGCTGAGCGAGCCTTGGCTGCTCATGTCAGCGTGCCTTGTGGATGCATCCACGGGCTGTCATATCCGGCTTCCTGCAGCAAAGTGTGAGTCAGCACCACCGGACCCCCGACGCGTCTCTCCTCCACCCGCTTCACAGGCGATCATGCTGCCTCTCCGTAGGAACTGCGCATCCTTTTGTGCATGAGCTTTCGAAGTTGGATTAAGGTACGGCCGCGGCCCGGATGGCGAGACCCACAAAGAAATAGAAGGACGTTGAAACCGTTGGTCCATGCGCGGGTGAAATGAACTTTATTGAAGGGCTTTCGTATCTATGTGTCATGTCGAGCCTGCCCTTGTGAAATTCTATTTAGTGGATAAATGGTGCAAGTGTAAGAGTGCCACTGCTATTCCCTCCTCCGTATGTGTGTGTGTGTGTGTGTGTGGCACGGATCGCCATGGAGGGTGGCGAGTTTCGCTTTAGCGATGCAGCACAAACGTGCTCGGGTCCATCTTCCCCATGCGATATTGACGCCGATGCAGGATCCAGGCCGCCTGTAAAAGGAGTGAGCAAAAGCCCTCGGTACAAGGGCCAATCGACGGCAAAGCCAGCGCTATCCGAGTGTGGAACAGGCGTTTAAAATTGCAAGGAACATGAAGTTGACTTGGCCCAAGTTGCCAGGGCCCGTCGCATTGCAGCCTAGGCAACACGACATGGGAGACTGCAACCATGATTGCCTGTGGAAGCCATGGGCACATATGCAATTGCTGCCAATACACACAGATGCTGGCGACGAGCAAATGACATGCAGGCATCCGTGTCGATCGAATCCATCGCGCTGTTTGATAATGCATAGGAGCTATATGCAGGCACCGTAATGGAGACCCGAGAGTCGGACATGATGAGCCTAGGGAAGCCGTTTAGCGGAGGGGCGTGGCCGTGTGGTCTGGTCCAAGGTAACATGTCGGTTGGGCGGGTGCAAAAAGTGCATGGGCTGATTTGGAAGCGCTCGGTGGCTCTGGACGCTGATGTTTGCATCTACCGTTGCGTGCATTGCTTGCTGTAGCATGGAGCTAACCCGCGTGAGAATGTTTTGCATCCCTAGGCGGCTTCGATGGCTCGATGTCGTGCAGGCAAAGCATGCACGGCTAAGCGAAGTGGTGGTACCTATCGGTTGAATTCGCCACGGGTGGTATCAGGGTGAGCAAGAGCGTGTTAGAGGCTTACGGGACCAAGATGCAGGTGGGAGAGCCAAATATTGGTCATGCTGCAGCAGCAGTAGTAGCAGTAGCAGCAGCAGCAACAGCATCTACTAGCTTGAATGGATCGGCGCGACGTTTCTTCGAGGGCGATCTTGTGTTAGTGGTTAGCGTGATTTTGAGGATGCACGCGAACCGGGGAACAGCTTCCGATGGCAGGGGGTGTGGTGCAAGTTGAGTCCAAGGCTTAGCACTCACATGGCCCAACCCGCCTTGGTGGACTCGCTAATTCTGGCGTGAGACAAGACGGGCAGCGTACGTGTCTGGATACCCGCCCATGGATATGGCTACCTGAGACGGCTGATGTGAGCACCAGGATGCGGCTTTGTCCGAGATAAGGCATACGTTGTCGTTGGCGGCGGATGCAAGCAAGGAATGCGTTTGGCCGGGCCTTGTATTTGCAGACAGCAGGGCAACGGCGTGAGATTGAGGCAATGGCGTTCAGCTCAGCTTTGGGCTTGGGCCCCGGGGGCGCCGAGGCTTGTCGTGTAACTGCTCGGGATAATGGCCTTGTACCACGACAGAAAACACTCGTGAAACTCGGTGGATTTGGTCGACGGGCAGACGACGAGCTCGCGCCCTCGGGCGGGCCGTTGGTGAGTCGCGGCGAGCCGTAGTGTGGCTCTCTGTGTGTTGCTTTGGCAGGCGGAGACGAAGCACCGGCAAGTGAAGGTGGAAAGGGATGGCCGAAAAAGGACGAGCCATGGTGAAGGGCGGCCGGAAGAGGCTTGGAAGAGACCCTTAGGCGTCCAAATGCAGACATGAGTGCAAGCAGCCGACGAGACAGTGGGCGGGCGGATGAGGGATTTGCCAAAAGCAAACATGGTCTGGGACTAGCAGTCGAGGGATCTTCGTTGGCGACATATCGGGCTGGCAGTTACACAGGATCCTTATGCACGTACCCGAGGCGTGAGCATGATTGTCAGACCATTGGGGGCCAAGGTGAGATGGGGGTGTTGCATGCCATGTCTGTTGGCCATAGTGGTGGTGGTGGTGGTGGCCATGGTGGTGGTGGGCGTGGTGGTTGCTCGTGACGATACAAGGCCGTGAGGAGAGACTCGGCGGGATGCCAGGCTCTGACTCGGCGGCAGCATGAGGTGCACACCGCTTAGCGTGTCGGCGGCGAGTATCAAGGCGAGAGAGGGTTAGGGGTCTCTGGTAGATGAGCAGCAGCTTGACAAGAAGCGTGATCGGTCAAGGGTGGGACACATGGCAAGCCAATCAGGCGCGGGCCGGGGTACCGAGAGAGCAGGACGACAAAGGCGCGGGCGCGGGACGTTTCCTCTTCGGAGTGGTAAATGAGGGATGCGGCCATGTCTGATCGGTGAGGGCATGGAGGGCAAGGGTTTCCGTTGCGTTGCACTAGATGCCCGTTGAGCGAGCGCGTCAGGACGGTGCAGGTGAAGGCGGGCGCCTGACGCCACAAGCACCGTTGCGTGCTAGCCGAAACATGTGTGCAAAGGGGCAGCTTACGAAGTCGACAGCAGCAAGGGATCCGAGAGTAGGGACCGGCCGAGCAGGTTGGCTGGCTGGGTATTGCGCGACGTGTGTGTGTGTGGTGTGGGTGTGGGAGTGGGTGCAGGAGAGAGGATGCGTGTGTGTGGGTGTGGGTGTGTGGGTATGGATAATAGATGGATGGGGTTGGATGAGTGGACGGATGGAGGAGGGTGTGGGCCAAGGCGTGCTTGTGCTGGAAGGGGCTTGGCGGCGGCAGTCAGGGCGATGACGACAATGGGCAGCAACACCAGCATGGGCTGAATCAACGGCGGCAATGGGGAGCAGCACCAGCGCTGACGGGTGTGGTTGATGGATCTGCTGCAGGCTGGGCGACAGACAGACAGACAGACAGACAGACAGACAGACAGATGGAGACAGGGCAGGACAGGCAGGGCAGGGCAGGGCGGGCAGGGCAGGGCGGGCAGGGCAGGGCAGGGCAGGCAGGGCACCGTCGACAGCTGGCAGGGCGGGCGGGCTTCTGTGTGAGTTCTCTGGCGCCCCCGTCGCGGGAAGCCCGCAATTGGGTTCGCCCGGCTAGAGCCGCAGTGCGTTGCGCTGCGCTGCGCTGCGCTGGTCATCAAACAAAGTAAAGGGATTACCCTGGCGGCGGGCGTGGACGCTGCAGCTGCAGCGTCGAGCGGCACAGGCTGGGGCAGCTGTTTGTGGGCAGCATGGGCAACAGGGAAGGCGAGTGGGAGGGTGGAAGGGCATGGGCGGCGGGTCACGTGGAGGCTATTCTGGGCGACTCGGAGGAGTGGCGCGTGCCGCGATGGGCGCACCACGACGGACGGCAGAGGCACGTCGGGAGCGAGCGAGGAAGGGCAAAGACGCGCGGGCGTGGGCGTAGCCGCAGCCGTGCGCAAACACGGCGGGCGTGGGCGTGGGCGTGGGCGTGGCAGCAGCAGCAGTGGCAGTATTTGGCAGTAGTCGCAGGCAAAGGCCGCAACAGCGACAGCGCTCTGGGGGGCGGTATCGGGCCGACGGGGCCCTCGCTGTGGAGATGGGCGTCATAGTCGCGGGCGTGTGGCCGTGGGAGTGGCCGTGGGCTGGGAGAGGCAGGCTGGCGGGCTGGCGGACTGGCAGGCGGGCAGGCGGGCAGGCGGGCAGCCAGGGAGGCGACCAGGCCGGCCGGCTGGCTGGCAGATACGAACATTGCCTGTGCACAAGCAGTAAGTTCAGGCCCCCCAACGGATCGCATGCCGCCAGCCCCGAGCCCTCCCCTACGCGCGCTATCCCATTCCACCATGGCCGCCCCCGGAGCACCGTAGCGCGCACGCACGCACACGCCCTCGCTCATAGTAGACACACACACGCACACACCACACACCACACAACACACACCATACACCATACACTACACACACACACACACACACACACACAATACACGCCCACCCATTCTGCACACACACACACACACACACACACACACACACACACACACACCCACCCACCCCGTCCATCCACCCAT